ATGTGCAGTTAGGAGGCGGGGGCCTTGTTGCAGGAGGGTGGAGGTGGGTCGCCGGAAGCATGATCTGGTGGTGTCTGTCTCCCTCCTGGGTTCCCCATTTCATGCTTCTTCCTTGCTGCCATGAGGTGAGTATCCTTCCTCTGCCAGGATCACCTCAAGTTCAAGGCCAGCCTGGCCTATAAAGTGAGTCCAGGCCAGTCTGGCCTATATAGTGAGACTTTATCTCAAACAGTAAATAAGTAAATAAATAAATAGCTTTGTGGTGGGCACATTACCCTCCACAACATGGGTGAACCTTATCTAAGCTTTCCTGTCTTGGAGACAGCCAACTAGGCACTAAAAATGTGAGCCAAAATAAATGTTTTCTCCTTGAAGTTGAAGGTGTTGGGTATTATGCTCCAGCAATATAGAAAGTAACTAAGACACGAGAAGACTTGTCACTGTAAAGGCTCACCTCAAATATGTAGTGATCCTCCTGCCTCACCCTCCCAAGTGCTGGGATTACAGTCATGCCCCACCATGCCTAGATAAGACCAGCAATTTTAAACAGACAGTTAATCAGAAACCTGCGCTACTGCAACAATATGAATGCATCTCACAGACACTGTATGGAGAAAAGGAATCCTGACAAAAAAGTGTGTATGTTTGAACTTCAAAACCAACAAACCCAATCTATGATGATAGAAATCAGAATTCCTTAGAAGTTGCATATTGAGGAATGAAGATTGGGAAAAGGTAGGAAGGAACCTTCTGGGGTGATGGAAATATTCCATACCTGACTAGGGTGTCAATTACACTAGTACATACATTTTCACAATTCACCAAATCTCTCTGGAGATAAAGCTCCATGTTAGAGTGTTTGACTAGCATGCCTGAGGCTCTGTGTTCAATTTGCAACAGCAACAACAAAAATAAACATTTAAAAAAAGTGCTCTATAGACGGGCGTGGTGGCTCACACTTGTAATCCCAGCACTTGGGAGGCTGAGGCAGGAGGATCCTTGTGAGTTCGAGACCAGCCTGGGCTACAAAGTGAGTTCAAGGCCAGCCCGAACTGCATAGTGAGACCCTGTCTCAAAAAAAGACAAAATAAATAAATAAATAAAATTGCTCTATGATGAATGTGATCATCATATATATCTAAAATGTACCAATAAAATCTAATTTTAAAAGTAATTAAATTATAAAAAAAGAGCAAGACAAAATACAAAAAACTTCATTGAATTATGTAAACAGTGCCTAATTTTAAAGAGGCATGTATTACTATTGGGATCCAGTATGTCCCCCAAAAAGGCTCATGGTGATGCAGGTTTGCTTGCTGATGGGCTTTTGGAAAGTGACTAGATCGAGCTAATTAGAAGGCTCTAACTTCATCAGTGGGCTTATCCAATGACAAGATCATAATCTGAGGCATTTTGGAGAGTTGACAGAAATAGCAGGTGAGAAATCTGGGCACAGTGGCACACACCTGTGATCTCAGCACTTGGGAGACTGAGCCAGGAGGATTGTCCAGAGTTCAAGACCAGCCTGGGCTACATAGCAAGACCGTGTCTCACACAAAACAAAACAAAACAAACAATAAAACTAATATGGTTGGACAGTGGTGAATGACTCAGTGATTTCTTGGGTGAACTAATTAGGACTCAACCAACATAGAGCTTTACTGAAGAAACCATGCTTCACCAAAAGGAATCAACCCATAGTCGTCAAGAACCCAGATAGTCTGGACCCACTGTAAAGCTTGCCAAAAACACAAAGTGAAATGCTTCACTAATTGGACTAAAGAAGATACACTGCATTTTAAAACCATTGTCAATTTTACTAGAATTAGGATAAAAATTATTTATGCTTTTTTTTTTGTCTTTTTCCTTTTTATCGATACTGGGATCAAACTCACGACTGCCTGCTTGCAAGGTAGGCGCTTATGCCACTGAGCTAAATCCCCAGCCCTATTTATGCCTCTTTTATAAGAGTATATAGATCTTAATTGTCAGAAAAATATTTTCATTATTAAAAAGGAAAATGGTTGTAAACTTGTTCCCTCTGCTATCTGTTACTCCATGGCACCCAAATAAACAACGTGCAAACATTCAATGACTTTTGAAAAAGACCATAAGTAAAATTATGCACATAATCAAAGAGTCAGAGCTCAAGTCTGAACTTAGCCAATAAAGACAAAATGATCTGAAGCGTTACTCTCCTTTGTAAGTGCATTAAGAGCCCCGTAAGAAGTGACAATCTAGCTAGAAGTTTCCAGTCACCAACCCAAGCAACATCGGCTCTGGGTACCCAGCCAAGTCTCCCTTTGCTGCAGAGTAGAAAATATAATCCACAGTTATGGCACCTCCAGAGTGATAGGCGGTCACTATGGAATTCTAGTGTCAGGACAGTAATGTGAAGACACAGAGGACAAGATGGAATGGTGTTTTCAGAACCTCCGTTTTCTCTAACTGTGTAGGCATCATCTGACTTTTCTACATTTGGTGCCTGCTGTGTATCATACACACAGTTCAGCAAAATACCTAGGTTTGGAGACCAAATTGGAATAGATAAAATTCTTGGTTCCTGTGAAGACTGATACTTTTCTGATAACAAGTCCTTCGTAATTCAATTCTCCTTCCTTTATGAAACTATAGAGTGGAGAACCAGGAACAGAGCTGAAGTCACCACACATGCAATGGCATGGATGGAAGCTGCCATCTTTTCTTTTCTTTTCTTTTCAGTACCAGTGATCAAATTCACCACTTTGCACTTGCCAGGCAGGTGCTTGTGCCACTGAGCTAACTTCCTGGCCTGGAAACTGCCATCTTCCAGTGACCAGCATTAGGAATCTCTGCCGGCAGAGTTGCCAACTGAGTCAGTTTAATATCACTTCACCTTGGGTTGCACAACACATGTAGTAGCTACACAGATGGTAGGTGAGGGAGCACAGGGCACCCAATATCGTCTCCATCCAGAAAAAGGTATGGGGTGGTAGAATTCCACTGGGTTCACTGATGAGAGCAAAAGCTTGGGATGTTTGAGACAAATGGCACAGCCACTGGGTTTCCTTCATGGCTGCATATTCTATTCAGAGGGATAACCCAGTGATTCCAGACTTGGCCTGATCTCTGTTCCATAGTGATTTTCTTGAGCTCCTTGTAGACAAAGTACATCTGCACCAAAATGTTTAATTTCTTTTAAAATTGGGAAACCTAAAACTGTAGCATAACACTGTCCATCAGCAGTGTCTGTACAGGTGTGAATTATCTTCCAATAAATCTTGTGAAAGTATATTGTAGGACATCACTGAAAAGCCAAGTGCCTAAACTGGGCTTGCTCTAGCCTCCTCCTGTAGTGAGCCTCAAAAGTTATTCTACAACCAACTCCTAGAATCTGCTTTCCTCCAGGCTGCCCCAAGCGCCCATTATCACACATCAAGAGAAAATGAGTCACATTTATCATAGAAGCCAGAACCATGATCTGGGTCATCTATTAGTCAATATAGAGCGTAGCTATAAAAAAAGAACCCAAGAAAACCCACAAGGTGAGTGAAAGCACTGGGAATGTGAAGGCAGAGATCCTGAATTAGCTGAGGTGCACCGAGTCCTCGCTGGGTGACCCTGGATAAGTCCTTGAGACAGACTGAGCCCAAGTTTCCTCATTTATGAAGAGGGCATCATGTGTCTGCTGCAACACAGATCACTGTAACAATGCACGAACCTACATGTGTGAACTTGCCTTGTAAAGTGTACTTAAAAGGTGGCTCTTCATGCCTGTAATCCCAGCAATTTGAATTAGGAGGCTGAGGCAGGAGGATTGCTGCCAGTTCAAGGGCAGCCTGGGCTACATAGTGAGTTCAAGGCCAGCCTCAACTGCATAGCCAGACCCTGTCTCAAACAAACAAACAAACAGACAGACAAACAGTGGCTCTTAAACACTGCTTAGGGGCTGGGGATTTAGCTCAGTGGCATAAGCACCTGCCTTATAAGGAGGCGGTCATGAGTTCGGTCCCCGGTGCCGACAAAAAGATTAAAAAAAAAAAAAAAGTTAAAAAAAAACCACTGCTGGGACCTGAATGTAGTGAGGTTAGCTTTGGGGGTCCCTATATTTGGCCTTGTCCCCCTGCCTAATATCCAGAATTAGATCTACTTCCCAGCAATGTTCCCGGAAAGTCAAGCCTACTTGCATCTCAGCAGAGTTTCCATGGAGTTGGCCCCCAGTCCTGAGGGGGTGCCAGCTCAGAGGCCAGCTCAGAGGTCACCCAAATGCCAGAAGGAAACCATTGTCAGCAAGGCTGTGCTTTGGGATGGCTGTGGTCTGCAGGACAGGGCTTAATTCTCTAAGGAACACGGGCTGTGGTGCAGAACAGCCTCCCTGGTTACTGTGGGATTCTGCAGGCCTCAGTCAGCCCCCTAGGGTTGTGTGGCAATTTGCTGCCCTCCCGCTGGCCCACAGCCTGTGTGTCCAGAGGCAGGCTGCTCCCAGCAGGGCCAGAGCTAGCCAAGGCCAACCATCACGTGCTCCTCTCTGCCCATCTGACTCTCCCTCTCCTGGCCTCACGTGGGTGAGGGTAGCAGGTACCAGGGCTGGGCTTAGTCTTCCATGCCACCCAGAAAGACTTTTGTAAGGCAGTCATTTCCTCCAGCCCGCTCTCCTAGGAGCCCGCCAGTGGCACCTGTGTGGTGTGCAGTTACCTCCTGCTAATGTTTAATTCATGGCTGGGGGTTGGGGTGAGTTTCCAAAGAAAGGAAACAACTCCCGAGGGGTTTTGCCCAGTTCCTGTTTGCCCCACAGGACACAGAGCTGAAGCCCCAACCTCCTCATCTAGGCCAAGGGCTGGGGAGTGGAAGTTGTCCATGGGCCCGGAGGACACTGTCCCAGCCTGGGCACAACCACTGTCCACTAATCCCCAGGCTTGGAATGTCTGCAAGCCAATCAGCAGGGTCTCTGAGGGCTCCCTGAGGGTGCCAATAATCCTGCAATGATTAGCAGGGGCCACGAGGTCAGTGCACACCGTTCTGCCTGTTGTTGGTGGAGCAGGCTGGCCAGACCAGGAGGAGAACCAACAATGGAGGCATCCCAGGGAGCTGTCTGTCTCTTTTCAATCTAGCGGGAGGCTGTTTGGACACACTGAGTACTCACTGGCCTGCCCCTTTTGTCTGCCAGCCCAGGCTGACTCCTCAAGTTGTGCATAGCTCCATTCAGCCCAGAGAAGAGCTGGACGGCCGAGTCAGACTGTCCCTGCAGCGCCCCACAGGGCCATGCTGCAGCTGGGGTCCTCCCCAGGGCGGGGAGGCCAGGGCCATCAGCCGGCCATCCTGTCCGTGCTCCTGGCTCTCCTTGGCATCGCCTGGGCAGAAGTGTGGCCACCTCAGCTGCCAGAGCAGAAGTCAGTGCCGGGAGGTAAGGAACCAAAGTGTGCAAAGCGGGTACCAGAGTTTCTACAAGCCAGGTCTTAGGCCGGAGCCCTGGGTTGTGCGGGTGTCATTTGATGAGAGACCTGAGCCTGGGGCAGGGGAAAAGGTAGGATAAAAGGGATGGGCAGAGGGGTAGGGCCAAGGAGGGACCCCTGAAGAGATGCATGGGTGAGGAGGAGCTCCAGCTAGGGGGCTTCGAGGAGCCCAGATCTGGGCCATCGGCACACTCCGCCCTGACCTCTAGCTCTCTCCACTGACTGCACCCTAGCACTGTCCCAGCACCCCGTGCCCGTCCCCACCTTCTGGTCTCCCTCCATCTCTATGCTCTGTACCCTCCCACCACCCATGTCACATCCATCTCAAGTCTGATGTCCTAGAGATGGGCTTGACTCTCACCTTGCCAGGGGGATGGGCCCAGGTCCATCTGCTGGGCAGCCTGACCTTCTCTTCTGGCCCCAGCCCTGAGCAGAAAGGAGAGTTTTTTGCTCCTGTCCCTGCACAACCGCCTGCGGAGTCGGGTGCAGCCCCCTGCAGCCAACATGCGGAGAATGGTGAGTGCCTGGCCCTGGCCCTGCTCTAGAGAGGACAGCCAGCTAGAGGGAGGGACAGAGACTCACAGGGTCAGCGGGCCATGCCAATGCCAGACAGTCCTTCTGCCTTGTAGGGCAGGCACAGACAGCCAGTCACCTTGGTCACTGGGGGACGGAAGCCCTAGTTGCAGGGGTGGGGTGGGGGCGGGCAGGACTCCTGCAGAGGATCTTTAGCATAGGGGACCAGGCCCCTTGCCTCCCGCTTGTGTGAAGAGCAGACTTTGGGCCTTTCCTGGCATCCCATTGCCATGGAAACCAGAAGCCATGAAAGGGCGGGGATCCCCTTCTCCAGGGAAGAGGAGCCCTACAAAGGAGTCTAGCAGGCAGGGTGGGGTAGGGAGCCTGAGGAAGATGTGTTCCACGGGGCCAGGCTGTGGAGGGGCTGCTCGTTCATTTATTCACATTGCATGCAGGAACCGCGGTGGGGCAGAGGGTTCCCCACTACTGGGATGGAGGCTGAGGGGTGGATCTGTCATCCACCCTGGGACCCCTACAGCCCCAACTTCTGTTAACAGGGCAGTGAGCTTAGGCAGGAAAAAAAGGGGAGGCAGGGTTCCCCATGGCTGCTTCCCATAAACCCTTCAGGGGTTGACAGCTGTGTGGATGGCGACCTTGAGAGCTTGGGGTCAGTTTCTCAGGAGGTGGGGGTGGGGCGGAAACTTCTCTCTCTTTCCCTGCCCTGCTCCTCTGCCCCTGCTCCCCGCTGGCCCTCACTGAAGGTAAAATCACAATGAACATCTACTCAGGCAGCCTGAACCTGAACAGGACACCTTTCTCCCTGCATTTATTTAGCCTTACAGCTATCTGTCCCGTGGGCACTTAATTGTCTGCACTTTATAGATGATGCCGTCTCATAGAAATTAAGTGACCACTGGAGGTCCCATGGCCTGGATGAGATGGCTGGGCTGGAGCAGGGGTGGCCACGGCATAATGACTGCAGGAAGTCCCTCTTTTTATGGGGTTGCATTTTATGGGGAAGAGCGGGTGAGCCCACCTCAGGGCACTCTGCTCACTGAGCCTGAAGCCCAGGGGACCTCTCACATCTCATCTCCAGTCAGTATTCCCAGGAGCTCCAGGAGGCAGAGGGTCTGGGAGAACCAGAAAAGAGAAGTGGGTTGCTGGAGCTTTTGCATCACAGGAGAGAAGATTGGCGGGGTGGGAGCAACAGAGCGCTTCTGAAACCTTCTGAAATGGCCAGGGTCAGCTTCACCTAAAGGCAAAATAAGTCAGGCCCAGTAGCACATGCATGTCATCACAGCATTCTGGAAGGCAGAGGCAGGAAAATCTCAAGTTCAAATATGGCCTGGGCAATTTATCAAGACCCTGTCTCAAGGAATGAAAGGGACTGGGGATGTAACTCAGTAGTAGAGCATCCCTGGGTTTGGTCTCTGGTACCACATACACATGCATGAAAGCAGCCTGCAAGCAGCCCTGGATACCACCCAGGGTTTACATTGCCAAATGGGGACAATGACAGCAAAAGCCCATCTGTCACCTGAACTGGATTGCTGGGCAGGGCCTCAGGGTGTCCTGGTGACTCAGGAAGATGGTGGCTTGATCCTGGGCAGAGCAGGTCTCTGGCTCAGGTGTCAAGTGCCAGACCATCCATGCCTTCCCAGCTTTGGGGAGAGAGCGCCTGGGGTGCCGCCTGACCTCCCCTGACACCACACAGTGAGGGAGCCCAGGCCAGAGCATTGGGTAGCCAGCAGGACTCCTCATCCAGTGCTCTCCTCTCACCAAGACCTGTTATGCTATAAGTGCTCAGAGACAGCAGGGCAGTGGAGCCACTGCCCAACCAAGTCCTTTTGTGCATATCTGTTTGTGCCACCCCAGGACTGGAGTGAGAGCCTGGCTCAGCTGGCCCAAGCTAGGGCAGCCCTATGTGGCATGCCAGCCCCAGACCTGGCCTCTGCCCCACGGCGCACCCAGCAGATGGGCTGGAACATGCAGCTGCTGCCTGAAGGCTCGGTGTCCTTTGTTGAGGTGATCAACCTCTGGTTTGCAGAGGGGCAGTGGTACAGCCACGAGACAGCCGAGTGTGCCCGTAATTCCACCTGCACCCACTACACTCAGGTGAGTGAGTCACAGGTGACACCAAGGCTCCCACAGTGCTGGGTGGGACATCTCAGAAGATGCTACACTTTGTCCTAAATATTTGGGTTCCTTTTCCTCCAGTTTTAGTTCTGCTTTCTGTACCTTTATTTATCTGTTTGTTTATAGAGTGCTACCAGGGATTGAACCAAGGACCTTCTTACTGGAATATATCCACAGATTCCCCCCTCCTTCTAAATTTTGAGACAGAATCTCTAAGTTACTACATTGTCCAGGCTATGCCTGAACTTTCAAACCTCCTGTGTTAGCCTCCCAGAGTGCAGAAACAAATGTTTTGTTATTAGGGCTGTTTTCCATTTCCTACCATGTGTGGGATTTTTTTTGCTTTTCTTTTTGTTTTCCTGATGCTGATACTGGGGATTGAACTCAGAGCCTTTGAACTGAGCTACATCCCCAACCTTCCTCACCATTTTTAACTTTAGAGAGGATCTCAATAAATTACTTAGCTCAGACTTGCTAATTGCTGTGCTCAAACTTGTGATCCTCCTGCCTCAGCCTCATGATGTTGGTTTTTGATTTTGAAGTATATATTTAAATTTCCAAAATACAGTTTCTTTACTTCTAAATTATCTGTTAAATTTTATTCCATTGAATTAATACAATGTGGCCTATAGGATAGTGATTCTTTGATCTTTGCTGAAAATTGCTTTGTCATTTAGTAAGAATTCAATGATTGCAAAAGTTCCATAGATTCCTAAAAAAAAAAAAAATAGATTCTCTAATGTATATGACTGCATCTTCACATGTTCCTGCCACAATCCAGTCTGGTGCTTGTCATTTTTAGTGGCTAATGAAGTTTGTTTAGCTGTTCCTGTATATTGATCATTTGTGCTTTTTCCAAGTTGTCACTGCTTCTAAGACTTTACATCAGGACAGGAATTTCCCTCAGTGGCATAAGCTGGCAAGTGCGAAGTTGTGAGTTCAATCCCTGGTACCAAAAAAAAAAAAAAAAAAGAGAGAGAGAGAAGAAGAGGAAGAAAAAGACTTTACATCTAAGTTTAAAGACCCACACCCATTAGTTTTGCTAGATGGCAGACCAGTCCAAACCTTAGCAGTCCATGATTCTGTAGGCTGACCTTCAGGTTGGGATCAGCTGGGAGGTTCTCTGGTCTTCTTTTTTTTTTTTTTTTTTTTGGTCTTTTTTTTTTTTAATCGGTACCGGGGATTGAACTTACGACCACATACTTGCAAGGCAGGTGCTTATGCTTAGGTATGAGCTAAATACCCAGCTCCTGGTTCTCTGGTCTTCACTGGTCTCAGGCACTGGGAGTTAGCAGGCTAGCATGGCCTCAAATGGCTGGTCTCTGCCCTCTGAGCCCTTTCAACCTCTAACGTGCTACCATGGGCTTGTTGATGGGGTGACTGACCATGGCTCCACAAGCATGAGTGAAAATGTATCAAGTATCTACTAATCTTCACCTCCTACTCTCCTCTCAGGAAATCCTGAGTGGATTCTGATGCTCACCATCCTTACAGCCCTTCCCAGCATCGCTTCCCCAGCTGCTGCTCCCGGGGCCCCCAGGGAGGTAGGAGAGCCAGCTATCTGCCTGGATTGTGGCTAAAGCTGTGTGCACTGGCCGGAGCATTTATTGCCTGCACTGCTGGCCCCTGGATCAAAGTGGCTGTGATCCTTGATAGGGTTTCTCAGCCTCTGTGTCTCCTGCAGCTCGTGTGGGCCACCTCAAGCCAGCTGGGCTGCGGGCAGCATCTGTGCTCTGTGGGCCAGGCAGCGATGGAGGCCTTTGTCTGTGTCTACTCCCCAGGGTAAGCCCCTGAGATGCGGGCCGTGGGAGGGCAAGGCAGGATAGTTACACATGGGGTGAGATGCCCACTTGCACACTCTTCTGTCTGCACCCTTTCTGGGAGTGGGAAGAGGAAGAGACAGAGAAGGTGCAGAAGATGCTGGCCAGGCAGAACAGAACTTATCCCTGGATGCCCCTTCCTGGAAGCATGACCATGCTTCAAAGGACTTTGCCCAGGGCTTGTTTGCAGGCCATCTTCTCTCCTAGCAGGCTTTCCTGTCTCTCCCAACTCCCTGATTCCCTGCTGCCATTTGCTCTGACAGAGGCAACTGGGAGGTAAACGGGAAGACAATTGTCCCCTATAAGAAGGGCGCCTGGTGTTCACTCTGCACAGCCAGTGTCTCAGGCTGCTTCAAGGCCTGGGACCACGCAGGGGGGCTCTGCGGTGAGTGCCCCACCCTGCCTCCAGCAGGCACATCACGGCGTGGCCTGGTAACCCTAGGGTGGGTGGCTGTCCTGGAAGCCTTGGCCATCAGCACTTGGGGCAGCACCTGCCTGGCCTGTTCAGTGGAGGTCCCTGCTCAGAGTTTCCTCATCCAACCAGAGGTCCCCAGGAATCCATGTCGCATGAGCTGCCGGAATCATGGATATCTCAACATTAGCACCTGTCACTGCCACTGTTCACCTGGTTACACAGGCAGATACTGCCAAGGTGAGGGCGTGGAGGGAGGTGAGCCTGGGTGTGTATACACCAGTCATGTACTTGCGGGGTTTGTATATTCCATTCTTTCATTCAATAAGAATTCACTGAATTCAACAGTCTACCATACCCTGGAGCTCTGGAGGAGACTCAAAATGGAACCAGATTTGGCCTGTTAGGCTATGGGACAATGGGAGGAGGATGTAATTCGGAAACAGGAATGGAATCTTTTGTTTTGTTTTTTGTTTTGTTTTGTTTTGTTTTTTGAGAGAGAGTCTTGCTGTATAGCCCTGGCTGGCCTCAAACTCTCAGTGATCCTCCTGCCTCACCCTTCTGAGTGCTGGGATTATAGTGTGCACTGTCTAGGAGTGGATTTTTGTTCCACTTTCCTGTCCCCACTCCATGGGCAAGGCCCAGTCACCTTCCAAACCCCCAGTTGCTTCTTTTCACAGTGAGATCAGACCACACAAGCCACGCATGGCAGCATTATAAGCCCTGATGGGGGTGTTCTCGCTGGGGTTGGCACCCCTGAATGTTCAAGCCTGAGCCCTTTTACCCCTCTCCATCGTGTTAGTGCGGTGTAGTGTGCAGTGCATACATGGCCACTTCCGGGAAGAGGAGTGTTCCTGTGTCTGTGACGTTGGCTACGGGGGAGCCCAGTGTGCCAGTGAGTCCCTGCCAAGGCTCCTGTCAGGACCCGTTTCGGTGAGGTGCTGGCTTCCACTCTACCAGCCTGTAGAAGCCCACTGTGTGCATCTCTTCCCTGCTCCCTGTTCAGTGACATCACATTGGTGGCCTGAAACTGGCCATGGTGGGAGCATTTACTCCTCTGAAACTGGCAAGTGCACAAGCTGTGGATCTTTTTTCCAGGGAGAGAGCTCACTGTTACACATTTACCAGCACAGCACTCACCCCCCGCGCATTTCCAGCTGGGAGCAGGAGGCCAGAGGAAGGGGCACCTTGAGCTTAGCTCCCTGGCAGGGTGGGAGGCAGTGGTGATTCTACCATGGCATACACAAGCTCAGCTCCCCCACCCCTACTCCAGCCAAGGTGCGCTTTCCTTTCCACACCTGTGACCTGAGGATCGACGGGGACTGTTTCACCGTGTCTTCAGAGGCAGATACCTATTACGGAGCCAAGATGAAATGCCAGGTGACAACAGAGCCCTGCCTTCCCAGGGACTCCAGGATCTCACATGAGGGAGGCCATGGAGTAACCCTTCAACATCTCTTGACTTCCCTGTCTTCATTAGTATAAAGCAGAGGTCAGGAAGTCAGAAGCCAGGAGGTCACTTAAGGACATGGGGGAACCAGAGACAAATCCCCTTATCTAAGAAGCTGTCCTGATTCAGCTCTGGTTGCTGACTGCCCTGCAGGAATGTCAGGTTAGAGTGGCCAGGATTCAGGGTTTTCAAAACCAGAAATCCAGATTTTCACTGGCATCTCTGGGATGCGTCGAAGTTGGCAATCAATTCAAGTACTGTATATTTCAGATACTGTGCGCTTGGCACAAACTGTTGTGAGGCAGGAGCCTGCCTGAACCTGTGGGCTGTCAGTCAGCTGGGTCCCTGTTCATGGAAGGGAGAAACGGGAGGGGAAGGGGGACTCCAGTCCCAGAGGCCGGAAGCTGTCAGGGTTGGGTGTGAAGACAGCCAGGTCAGCACACATACACACATACATGGGGCCCATTGCTGAGGTGGGGTGCTCTGATGGGCAGGAAGGGCTGGCTGAAGCTCTGGGGGCCTTGTCAGTATGACCTGGGTTGGGGTTACAGGGAAAGGGCGGGGTGCTGGCCCAGATTGAGAGCCAGAAAGTACAGGACATCCTCGCCTTCTACCTGGACCGCCTAGAGCCTACCAATGAGGTTACTGACAGTGACTTTGAGACCAGGAACTTCTGGATTGGTGAGTGTCTTGGCTGGCTGGGGAACGGTGAGTGTAGGGCTTGATGACCCACACAACTCCCAGAATCCTAGCAGCTTGCAGCAGTGTGGAGAGAGCTTGGCACCTAGAGTGGAGCTGGTAGTCAGGCTGCCAACCTCACCCAGGAGAGGGCTGCAGATCGGGGGTGGGGGTTGGAAGACTGGGATGAGGGGCTTCAGGACTGGAGGTAAAAGGCATTAGGTGTTAAGCTCCTGGGCTCAGCATCTGAGTGGGGCCCAGGGCTCTCAAGCAGTGGGCAACCTTGGCTACCGACCCAGGCCTCACCTACAAGATGGCAAAGGACTCCTTCCGCTGGACCACTGGGGAGCACCAGTCCTTCACCAGTTTTGCCTTCGGTCAGCCTGACAATCAGGGGTGAGTCTGGGGTGGCCACCCTCCCCCGGGCCTCCTTCTCCCCTGGGCTTGCTTGGCTGAGTCTTCAGATTCCACTGAAAAACCCCCTGAAGGCCTGGCCCTTACCTGCCAGGGAACTTTGTACAGTGTGCAGGATCAGGGCTGAGTGAGGGAAAAGGAACATCACATGAAAGAGAGGGAAGCTAAGAAGGCCTCACCCATCTGCCTGTCCCTGCTGTCCCCTCAGCTGTCCCTCCACCTGTCATTCAGCAGCCCGTCCCTCAGCCAACCCACCTGCCCTCTGCCTGCGTCATGACACTGAATCCAGCACTCTATAGCTGTCCCCCCCCATCCTTCATGCCCACCTCCATCCATCTGCTGTCCTGTACCAAGGAATTTCCAGTTATGTGGCCTTGTCATGATTTTTAAATCCCAGGAATGCTGAGGGCATGGATGGCAAGGGAGGAGGGGCAGAGGCTGCATGTCCCCAAGGGCTCCAAATATCTCCCCTGTGCTCCCCACTGCTGGTCAGGCCTGACCAAGCTCCTGGCATCTCTTCTCCAGCTGGGACAGAAGGAGGTGGCCCTCTCTGTCCCAGGCCCACCCCACTAGCTGGTGTGGCTGAGAACTGCCATGATGGCGGATTTGGTGACACCTCCTGGCTTTCCTGAGAAGAGCTTCCATGCTCTGGAAGCAGGATGGGAGCTTGGGGTGGGAGCTGGTAGATGCAGATAGCCTAATGGATGAAAGGTTTAAGATTCACCTGAACTCCTAATTTCATTCCTCCACCCGGTACACCCCTATCCTGGCCCCCCAGGTTTGGCAACTGTGTGGAGCTTCAGGCATCGTCTGCCTTCAACTGGAATGACCAGCGATGCAAAACTCGAAACCGTTACATCTGTCAGTTTGGTGAGGGACCTCGCTGGGCTCCCCTCCTCTGTTTCTTGTCCTCTGGGGCACTGTTAGCCTACTCCAGGCCACTAAGATATCTGAGTCACAGGCACCACGTATGTTTGAATACACAGAGCCACAGACGATGTCCCATTTAGGACCTTGAACCTGCAGGTGTCCAAGGCCCAGAGGGTGGACAGTGGGCTCAGTATCACATATGCAGTTTAAGTCCATGGAGAGGCTAGACTGCAGCCACATCTTGCTGGGGATTTCTCCAAGATCCCTCTTCTGTCATGAAACCTGCCACTCAGAGACCTGTCTGTCCCTTGATATTCCATGATTCTTTTTTTTTTTTTTTTTTTTTTTGTCTTTTTCGTTTTTATCGGTACCAGGGATCGAACTCACGACTGCCTGCTTCCAAGGCAGGTGCTTATGCCGCTGAGCTAAATCCCCAGCCCCCGATATTCCATGATTCTATAGAGCCCAGTGAGCTACGTGAGGGAGGCCAGAGGTGACATCTGACCTGGTACCAGTTACCAGCAGCACCTGCTAACAGGGTTTGGGCTCCTCATGGGATCACAACCATGGGTACTTCTGGACTGAGCGCAGCAGAGCCCCCATCGCAGGACTGCCTGGCTGCAATGAAGCACCACCCTGTTCTGCTTCCTTTTCAGCTCAGGAGCACATTTCCCGGTGGGACCCAGGGCCCTGAGCCAAGCCAGGTAGCTCTCCTGCCAGCCCCCGGTGCACCAGCTCTGCTTGCCTGTCTGCTCATTTGGGCAAGACCATGACCAGGCTGGGTTGCATGCCTAACATCTAGAGATCTCAGATCTTGCAGGAAGTTGGTGGAGTGGCAGCGAAGCCAGTGTGGGAAGGAGGAGCCTGACTTGAGAAAAGAATAGCCTGAAACCCTCAACTTGCTTCTTCGGTTGGGAAAATGGGCTTCCATGTACTACAGCAGAAGTCTGCGATCGGAAGGGCTGAACTCTCTGGAACAGCTGGAGTTTTCCTCACCAGATGCATCCAAAAAGCATTAAACTAAGTTATAAATGAGCCAGACTTGCAAGTACTGTTTTTTTCCCGCTGATCCTGGGAATTGAGCTCAGGGCCTTTGCACAGAGCTACAATCCCAGCAGCCTCCCGCTTTTTTTCTCTTAACTTTTTGAGTCACACTAACTTCCCCAGATTGGGGTTGAACTCTTGATCCTCCTGCCTCAGCCTCCTCAGAGCTGGAATTACAAGTATGTACCACCACATCATCTGCAACTGGTCTTTTGGAAAAAGAATTCAAATGACCAAAATGCTCTTGTATCTGCAATTCACTTTGTCCCTCCCCTTTCTTGCTCAACCTCTGGGCGCTTCCAGGCTCCCCAGTAACTTGGAAGACCAGACTCTTGTCCTGTCCCCACTGGTGGAGTGCTTCTGCATAGCTGATCGTATAGTCAGAATCTGTCCAATCCTGCTGCCTCATCCAGTGCCCCAGACATCACAAATGATACTTAATAAACATTGTCAGACAGTGTAATCAACTCGACATCTACGAATTCATTTAACCCCTTAACAGGTTACCCCGAGCATCACTTGGGCATTGCCTGTTTGCTTACTATCCCAAGCTCTGTTTGGGCAGGTGTCATTTCAACCAATCAATTATTATATTGAATAAATTTGATAAAACTGTCATTTTTATATGTCTTGGTATATTATACAAATTTTAAAATATGCAATTTTTGGTCATCTTGTACTTAAATAATTGGACTAAGTCGTTACACAAGCACATCCTCATTGAGAAAAGAGTATTACTACTCCCATTTTATGGTTGAAGGAATGGAGGCACAGACAGGTTCAGTAACTTGCCCAAGGTAGCACAGCAATCAAAACTAGATAGTCTGGCTATCAGTTAACCCTTTCAGAAGGAAGGATTTTCTGGTTCAGTCGTTTAATTGGTGGCGCTCCACAAGCCATGTAGTACCTAGGTTCAGAGCGCAGGCACACGCGGGGGATTCATACAGATGTTACCAACATCTTCACCACTCCCAGCAGATGGTCGCCGCGAGCCCAAAGCCCAGACCCCAGGCTCCTGTCCAAGGATCTGACCACGGTTGCCTAGGAGGATGAACCGTCTCTCCTGCCTTCATCTTGTCCAGCAATCAACAACAGCCCCAACTCCAGGTCAGGAACCAAGACAATTTCCCCAGGAGCTGCAGACTGAAGACCACTTGCTGTTGCCCGAGCCCTCTGGGAGCCAGGATCAGCTCACGCGCTGCAGAAGGATCCATAAGACCCCGCCTTCACCGTCGGCCCCGCCTTCACCCTCGGCCGCGCCTTCACCCTCGGCCGCGCCTTCACCCTCGGCCCCGCCTTCACCGTCGGCCCCGCCTTCACCCTCGGCCCCGCCTTCACCCTCGGCCCCGCCTTCACTGTCGACCCCGCCTTCATCCTCGGCCCCGCCTTCACCTTCGACCCCGCCTTCACCGTCGGCCCCGCCTTCATCCTCGGCCCCGCCTTCACCCTCGACCCCGCCTTCACTCTCGGCCCCGCCCACACCGAGTCCCTGAGGCCCGCCCCCTCGACTCATTATGCCCAACCTAAAGCCCCGCCCCCACCAACCGTAGGGCCCCAGCTAGCTGGGGACTCGGCCCGGGACTCGGCCCAGGACTCCGCGCTGTGCAGCGCGTTTGTCACCTGGCCGACGTCCTTCCGCGGGCCGCCTGGAGACGGTGGCACGCCTCCGAATGGGCTTCCTGCAAGTCACTGGGTGGGCTTCCTGCGGGTGGCAGTAATGCTGCTTGGCCGCCCGAGGGAGAGTCGGAGCCCTGCGCGCCAGTCGAGGCCGAGGAGACTGGACCGCGGACCCCAGGCCCACTCACAGGGGCCGTCCTGGTTCGTAGTGCGGGGTCGCTTCCCGGGTCCGCGCAGGCTTAGACCCGAAGTGCTGGAGACCCGCCTCGGCCCGCCCCAAAGAGGGTAACCTCTGCGGTTCCCGTGCAAAACCGTGAGGGGCGGTTCTCAGCCTAAGGCGCTCCCTCCCCTGGCTCCTGGCCTTTCTGTCTGAGCTTAGGTGAAGATCCGATCCGAGGAGAAAATAAAGACTAGGCTATCAGGAAGTGTTGGCTAAGTGATTATTTGTGATAGAGAAAGATTCTGCACCTCAGGGTGGATCCCCAAAATAAATTATGGAGATTTTACAAACCCTGAACCACGGTGTGTCTATCTCTGTGTGTTTTATTTGGGGAATTTATTTTTCCTTATCTGGTAAACTGTTCTGGGCCAGCACGTGTATTTCCCTCAAAGTCTGTAAAATGCCCACGGTGGTTCCTTCTTGAATCCGGGAAGCGATGAAAGAAAATGTGTATTGATCTGGCTCTTCTGGAGTAGCTAACGGGGGTGTAGCTCAGTGGTAGAGCGCGTGCTTAGCATGCACGAGGCCCCGGGTTCAATCCCCGGCACCTCCAATACTGAAGAGGCTTTCTTATGTCGATAGCCTTTCCAGGCAAAACTCTGCCTGTTAATTTAACTTCCCTGGGAAGCGGAAAGAAGAACCCTTGCTGATGCGATGGGTTCATTCCAATCTAGAAATAGTAATCAGTTCTCTGCCCTTGGGGGAGAAATAGTAATGTGTAACAATTCTGGTTTTCCCTAAAGGAGGAACTCTTTGTGAGGCTGTCCCAGAGTTGGGAAGAGGATTCCTTAGGATCCCTTGCCCCTCAAGCTCAAATTCTACACGTCTGTTGTAGAACAGAGAGCTTTCTTTTATTTCTTTTTTTCTTTTTTTTAAAAACATGGTCTCGAAATATAGTTCAGGCTAGCCTCAGACCTTTGGCAGTCCTGCCCTCCTATTTCAGCCTCCTGAGTACAGAGAAAAAAATGTGGCTGGCATTTTTTTTCCTAGTACTCTCTTAGACATAAACCTGGTGATTTGTTCCATTTTTATATACATTAGTTCCAAACCTCTATCTGTAAAAATTTGAGCTTGTGCTTCCAGTATGTTTTGATATATTACTTATGAACTGTCTCCATGTAGTACAACAGTAAAATATTATGTACATTATGAAAAAAAAAACTTTACATGAATGTAAACATGTTTTCATCATGCACCCAAGGGACTAGCTTGTGGTGCTCTTGGGAATTAGTCCCTGCTGGCTGTGCATAGAGACACCTAGAGCTTCACAGCCTAGGACACCTAAAGATGGAGACATCTGTTGCGAATTGCTTTCCCATGGCCATGATTAACACACCCACCCTGCGAACGAATGTATTTTTTTATTTTGAGACAGGGTATCAATAAATTGCTATGGGCTGGGGATATGGCTTAGTGGCACAGCACTTGCCTGGTAAGCACGAGGTTGTAAATTCAATTCTTGGCACAAAAGAAAAAGTTGCTAAATTGCTCAGGATGGGATCAAACTTGTGAATTTTCTGACTCAGTCTCCCAGAATGCTGGGATTACAGGCCTGTGCTGCCATGTCCAGCTCCCGCCCCACCCCAAAGACCTTCTGTTCAGTATACTCTGTACTCTTCTATGGCAGGAGCCACTAAATCCCTCAAAGCCTAGCCTTTGATGGTGCTTTGTTCTAGGGGACCACAGGATTAACTGTCTCACCATGGCAGGTCATAGGCTGCTGGAGTCCCATCCCTAATACTAGCTGGATTTTTAACATCCTCTGGCCAGTTACAGACCTTAGATTGCCCCTGTTTCCTTCACAACTTCTTGTTCCATCCATTGCAGGCCCTATTTTTTTTTAAATTAAATTCTTAGCTTTAAGCCACAGAAACAAATTCTGGCGACTCTAGGTAGAAGTTTGTAGAAGATACATGTTAGCTCTCAGAAAATCTGAAAGGGCTGGAGAATCAGATCTGGAAGAGATCACGCAGCTGAGCTGGCCTGGGGAAGGTCCCGCTGCCTCTGCTGAGCACGCAAGAGGCAGCACTGAAGTGGGACAGAGATGCCACCATCTTTGAAAGCTGAATGTAGCTGCTGCTGCTGCCACCAAAGGCCAAGTTGCTGCTTCTTCCCTTCATCAGCTTTAATTGAAAGCTGGGCCTGTGGCTCTGACTGGAAGAGCCCAATGCTTACTGTTGATGCCTACTTGCAGTCTTTAATATTGGGAATGATCTAACCTTTCCTTTCTTCTAGGGAGCGCTGTGAAAATAAGTAAACTGCTTTGCACTGGTCTGAGAAATTCAGGGCAATGTATCTGGGAGTCAGCTTGGTGAATCTGGTGACCAGTCATTGGACACGTCCACCTCTTTCCGCTTCTCTCCTTTCCTGACTCTTGTGCTTACTTACATTGGCTTGGGGGTCTCTGATTTCTTCTGCTTTCTTCCCACCTGAATGCTTACCTCCTGCTACTGAGTCATTGGCTGTCATTCATGTTGACTCCCGTTTGCTCACAGTCCTACTCCTGTTCTGCGCGGTCCTGCAGCACAGCTGATGGGAAGGATGGTGTGTCTCTCAGAAGTCCATCCGGGGCCTTTGTGAGCTGTGACTGTGGAGAGTCAACCCACTTCTGACCCATGGCCTCTATGCTGTTACTTTACTTCAGCAGGAGACATCAGTTATGCTCCTCCCTGTCCTGCCTTGAGGCAGCGAAGGGGCTAGAACCGCAGCAGATTCACCACCCTGTCCCATGCGGAGCTGTCTGTCCTATCGTGTAGAAAATGCTGATGCAGTGGCCACATGCCCATGGTGGAGCACAGATGGCCGATGTGTCACCTGACTTTGCAGGCCTCCCTGGAGTAGGCTTCAGCTCTGCCTTTTGACTTTAAAGTCACATATCTCTAAAATGCAGGTGAGTGGGGGGACAAAAAAAATAAAAAAATAAAATAAAATAAAATGCAGGTGAAAAAAAGAAGGCATGGGGGCTGGGGATTTAGCTCAGCAGCATAAGCGCCTGCCTTGCAAGTAGGCAGTTGTGAGTTCGATCCCTGGTACCGATAAAAAGGAAAAAGACAAAAAAAAAAGAAGGCATGAAGCAAGTTATTTGGTGAGTGGGTCTGGTGGTTCATGCATGTACTCTTAGCACTCTGTAATAAAACAAAACAAAACAGACATTTATTTATGGTGGTTTTTTTGAGACAGGATCTCACTACGCATTCCAGGCTACCCACGAACTTGTTTCAATCCTCCTGCCTCAACCACTTGAGTGCTGGAATTATAGGCATGTGTCACTATGTCCAATTTGAAACAAAACAAAACAAAAAACATCTTTAAAAAAGGGCTAGGGTTGGTGTGGTAGTGCATGCCTATAATCCTAGCACCCTGGAGACAGGAAGGTTGCTGTGAGTTCAAAGCGAGCCTGGGCTACATAGTGAGTTCAGAATCAGCCTGAACTACATAGTGAAAACCTGTCTAAAGAAAAAAAAAAAAAAAAAAAAAGAGTTAGGGCAGTGCAAAGGCCCTGGGTTCAAATCCCTGCATCCCCTGAAAAAGAATTCTTGGGGCCCTGCATACACTACATATATATGATTTGGATTCCTGGAGCCTGAAAGCCATGCTCTTTGTATTTCTTGTTTCCAGCAGAGTTGCAAATGTCTCTGTTTCGAGATCACACTTCTTACACACATATAAAGCCTGCCCTACATTCAGGAATATGGCAATGGCTCCTACCTGTTCTTGCATCACTGCATACCAAGAGTCCCACAGGACAGGAGCTTCAGTTTGGTCTGGGTGCCCAAAGGGCCTGACTCATGGTTGCTCTTAGGGTCAGTCACTGGTCCCATTACTACCTCTCCCCACCCCAGATGTGACCTCAAACATTGCTGCAGAGACCCCAACCCTAAGCAATGTAACCACAAGGCGGCTGCCTTCCCCAGCTCGCAAGGTAAACTGGGACTGGTCTGAGGCCAAGCATCTCCCCCAGACCTCATCTCTGTTCAGGGTCAGCCCATACTATACAGTGAGACCCTGTCTCAAACAAAACAAAACAGAACAAAACAAGAAAGAAATTAGGACTCCTTTGTACCTCTTCCTCATCATCATTCTCCTCTCCTTCTTCTTTCCATTACTGGAGACTGAATTTAACATCTTTGCCCTGACCTACATCCCCAATCCTTTTTAAGATTTTTACTTTGAGTCAAACTTTTGCTAATTGCCCAGGGTGGGCTCAAATTTGCAATCTTCTTGCCTCAGCCTCCTAGAGTGCTGGGATTACAGGCGTGCATCACCACAGATGGTGTTTTTGTTTTTTACACAGCATCTCACCATGTAGTTCAGGCTGGCTTTGAGCTCACTATGTGGCCCAGGTTGGCCTCAAACTCATGATGATCCTCCAGCCTCAGCCTCCCAAGTACTGGGATTATAGGCATATACCACTATACCTGGCTGTGTTTTTAAAAATATTTCCTGCTAACACTTACATAGTAATGCCTAATTGTTAACTATAAATCCTGCCATAACCCTTCTAATTTGATTTCCTTTTTTTTTTTTTTTTTTTTTTGGTACTGGGGATTGAACTCACAACCTCATGCTTGCCAGGCAGGCACTTATACCACTGAGCTAAATCCTCTGCTTTTTTGTCTTTATGAGACAGGGTCTCATGATGTGGTTCAGGCTGGCCTTGACCTCACTTTGTGGCCCAGGTTGCTCTAGAATTCACAGTGATTCTCCTGCCTTAGCCTTCCAAATTCTGGGATTACAGGCATGGGCCACTATGCCCAGCTTCTAGTTTGAGTTTTCAATGTGTCAAATTCACTTTAATAGGATTTGAGAAAACATTACTGGCCTCTCTAATTGCCCCAAAACTGGGTCCTGAGTGGAAACATTATCAGTACATGAGCCCAGAGAGTAGTGTGGGTATCACATCTTGTACCAGGTTCCTCCCATTTCTGGGATTTCATGGTAAATGAGTCTGGAACCTCCTTGGTCCCAGACTCATTTACCATGAGGGTTCCAAGGGCTCCAGTTTTGTGAATTTAAGGCTGTTTTGTAGAAAGTGCTCCCTTTGCTTATGATGCAAGCCACTTTGGCTCTTTTAGTGGCAGTAGCAGCAGCAGCCAGCACAGGCTTGGCACAGGGCCAGTATGGGGCGTGGGCCTGGCAGCAGGCAGGCAGCGCAGGTGGCCGGGCACACACTGTCCAACTCTGGTGGACAGCAAGAGGACACTTGAGAATTAACCTAGACCAAGGCTGGCTGTCTGCTCAGTACACACAAGGATCCATCCAGGTAGTCCCTCTTCTCCCTGTTGATGGTGTCAACCCAAATTCCAGGACAGGCATCGGGGTGATACTCTGTGTTTTCACTGAGGTATCACTGTTTTGAAATGTGCCAAAGGATCATTTGTCTTTTCTTTAGGGATTACCTCTAAGATAACCTCTAGCCTAGTGTTAGGTAGGGTGACTTGGATCCATCAGAGGCCAGGAGAGGCTGTCCATCAAAGGAACTGGAGCTCTGGTCCCTGTCCCCAGCTCAGGAGCAAGACAGGGCCCTGTGTTGCTTCCCCTGCACCCCCTTTTTTCGTCTTCTCACCTCAAGAGCCCCATCTCTTGCTCTTCCTTTAGATTTGCACATGGCTGGAGAGCTCAGGTCCAGCACTGGCCAGCCAGGACAGAAGAGGCAGCAGGACACAGCCGGCTTCCGGTGAGTCTGTCCGGACCCCACTGGGAGGGAGGCTGGCTGCTGGCTTGTGTGGGTTCCCTGAGATAGGACAAGGACCCCAAAGCCTCCCTAAATATGGTGGCTGCACACAGCTCAGGTTATCATCCCTGTAAGCAGGTTCCTGGTCTTGTGGGCTCAGGATTTGTTTAAACTGGGGGAGTGGACCCAGCATGTTCTGGTGCCCCCTTAGCTGACATAACCAAAATGTCTTGCTGATGGGGAAGGGTGTCCCTCTTTCCTGGGCCCAGGGTGCTGGGGGAGCCTTACCTGAGGATGTTGGGGCTTTTCCTAGCTATAGATATTTGGGAGGCAATAAATGAGAATCTTTATGGGTGACATCTTGCTTAGGAAATATAAAGAAAAACACTTTTTTTTTATGCCAGGGAAGATGAAGGTTAGGGCTATCTCCCACTTGGTCTGTGAGTGTGGGTGCTATGCTACTGAGCTAGATCCTCCCAATCTTTTTTTTTTTTTTTTTTTTTTTTTGCTTTTTTCTCTGGAGACAGGCTTTCACTAAATTTTTAGGCAGGACTTGAATTTAGATCTCCCTGCCTCAGTCTCCCTAAGTGCTAGGATTACAAGCATGTACTACCATGCTTAGCTAACACAGCACCCCGCACCTTCCTTCTCCGCCCCCAGACAGTGTCTCATTTTGTAGTCCAAACTGGCCTTGAACTCAAGGCAATCCTTTTGCCATGCCCTCCCACAGGTGTGCCCTCCACACCAGTTTTTGTTTTTGGTTTGTTCATTGGTTTATTTCTAAAACAGGGCCTCACTGTGCAGTTGAGACTGGCCTTGAACTCACCACAAAGCCCAGGCTGGCCTCCAACTCATGGTAATCCTCTCTCAGGCTCGCCAGTGTTGCCATGATAGGGATGTGCCACCACGTCCCATAACAGGGCCTTTTGTGAGGTGAGACAAAGTTCCTCAGCTCTTCACTTTTAATTGCCTTCATCAGATTTCATATTTTTTGCCTTGCTTCTTCTCCCAGTGGTTTCAGATTCAGCCCTGTCTGCCCTCTCTGGGCATTCTGTTGTGGGCTTGCCCATGATGGGGTACAGTCTGAGGCGATGGGGAGCAGCCCTGTAGGACAGGGACTCTGACTTCTTTCAGAGGGGCCCCTGGCATTCAACCTCTGAGGCACAGGTGGCCTCCTCCAGGCCTCATCATGCTCGGAGGACTCCAGTGAGAACAATCGAGTGCCTCCCCAGATGCTGGGTAGCATGGTGGGAGGCTGTGGTGGTGTCACTGGGCCTCTTGCGATGGCATCCAGGAAGCGACAGGTGGGGATGGGGCTCTGCCCAGCACTAGGCTCCTGGAGGGCTTCTCTATTAAGAAGTGTTCAAGTTTAATACAGCCCCCAAGTGGAATTTGTCAGTACAGAGGACAAGCTGCAGTGAATTTAGCCCACACAAGTCCCCTCAGCCTGCCCCATAGCCTGGCCCTGGGACAGTTGAGGAGGTGGCTTGATTCCGGCCCGGAGCCATTCCAAACAGGTCTTTTGTATTTTGTTTCCCTTTTGGTACAAGTCCTAGGCTTGCAGGCCAGGACCGGTAGCCTGATCAGAAGGCAGCTGCAGCCACTGCCCTGGTGCAAACTGGCCACTCCTTTGGGACCTAGTGAGGACACAGGCCACGCTGCTGGCAAAGGACGGCAGGGTAGGGAAGTCCCCAAACCGGAGGGACCCCTGCCTGCAACAGCGTGGGAAAGCAAACGCCCTGGCCCTATTCCACCCAGCCTGTCTGAACGCGGAGAGCAGTTTGCAAAATCTTGTTGCTTTAAATTGCTCCTCCCAGCTTACTCTCAAAAGTATACTTGAAACAAGTCACTTGGAGAAACAAAAAAAAAAAAAAAAAATTGTCTCTTTTGCATTGGCCGGGAATCGAACCCGGGCCTCCCGCGTGGCAGGCGAGAATTCTACCACTGAACCACCAATGCCGTGACAGAAAAGCTTCTCATAGGGTAGCCCTGGAGGTTGATACTAGGCGCTATCTGGGGCGTGGCTCCCGTTCAGCCACGCGGAGGGTGGCCTGGGGCGCTGTCTGACCTCAGCCCCTCCCACACCGCCTGGCGCCTGGCGCGGCATCCAGCCCTCCCACCCCGGCCCACCGGCTGCCTCTCTTCTCCTCCTCAGACCGGAATCCGCGGCAGCCGTGCTTTCCCCGCCGCTCACCCAGATCTCCTGGAGCCAAAAAAGGGGTGGGGTGGTGGTGGTGACCGAGAACCCCATTAGTATTCTGGGGACCCTGGCGGGATGAATGGCAGGGGTCAGCGTTTCCGGGCGTCCTCCGGGCTGACCCTGACCTGGCCACAAGGACCACAGTACCAGAAAGTTCTTCCAGAACTTTACCCGACCTAGTATGGATCCCTTTCCACCCCTGTAAGTCAACTCATCACTCTGGAGGCGGTGGGGGTGCGATGGGGCGGGGGCAGTTGTCTCTCCGCACTGACCCGCACCCCTCCTGGAAACTGGAGGCTCAGAGTCTGTTTGAAAAGGGGTCAGGCGACAAGGTCACCGTTTTCCAGGGCCTGCAGCAAAGGGGCAGGTGGCCTGGCCACAGTCCTAACCCTGTCTGCTGGCCCTGCTTCCTGTCAGTTCCTGTGCCAGGATTAAATACTCTCACACCCACCTTGGATTTGGGCTCTGACTTAACTCCTCCCTTTCATCCTTTGCCAGACTCAGATCCAGAACATCTGCAGTGCCTGACTTAGGCAGAGGGATCTTTGGAGGCAACTGTGCCTCTCCTGCCACCTGGAACCACAAGGAGGGGTCCCTTATCAGAATCTGAGCAGGGGGAAGCTGGTTTGCTGTGGTCTGACACAGTAACCTTGGCCAAGTCACTAGGGTCTTGCAGTGGAGAATCTTGGCATCTGAAGGAAGAGCTGCATACTTCACTTTCCCCCAAATTCAGCCAGGAACCAAGAAGGCTCTGGCCCTGGACAATGAAACACACCCTGCTTTCCCCATCTGTCCCCACAGCAGCAGCAGCTACGATTTGAACTATGAGCTGCACAGGGACTACGTCCCCTACAGGTAGGTATGTCCTGCCCCAGGTCTCTGGGGGAGCCCATGGGGCTGGTCGGCTTGATACCCTCTGTCCTGTCATTGCAGGGTATATGGATACCAGAGGATCCCTCCACTCATCAACCAGGTGTCCACTAAGTTCCGGAGGAGCTTTGTGGGCCTGGGGGTCAAGAGTGGCTACAGCCCCTACAAGGCCTCTAGGAGCAGACCCCTGCCCCCTGAGCAGATAAAGCGTGAGTAGAGCCACAGCTGCAGTGCTGGGGAGTAGGTGGGTGGCCTATGTGTGGTGTAGCAGGCCCTCTGTGGACACCAACCCTGGCCCCTCCCCAGCAGTGCACACCGAGGAGCTGCACTCCATCCGGGGGGAGCTGAGCCAGATCAAAGCCCAGGTGGACAGGCTGCTGGAAAGTCTGGAGCACATGGACCAGCACAGAGCCCAGACTGCAGGTCAGGCTCCAGGGGTGAACTGGGCCATGTGCTCAGCAGGCCCCAGCTTGCTTTTCCTGCCTTGGAAATTGTCAGGGCACCAAAGGGCCAGCAGGGTCTTTGTCTTTAGGCCTCCCCTCTGTGGTGTACCTTGGGCTCCCGCTGTCTGTTCCTGTGGCTTGTGGTTTGTGGTTCTGGATTGTCCTGTCACCTCCACATACTCAGTAGCTATTAGGAGTTCCAGCTGGTCCCAGCCCATCAGCCTTTTGTCCTCTCAAGCTCTAGATCACTTCTGGATCCTTGAGGGGGTCTGTTGGACCCTCCAAAATTGGCCATTGATTGGTGATTTTTGTTTTGTATATTTTGAGACAGGGTCTCACTATGCAGTTCAAGCTGGCCTTGAGCTCACTTTGTAGCCCAGGCTGGTCTCGAACTCGAAATGATCCTCCTGCCTCAGCCTCCTGAGTGCTGGGATTACTTGTCTTGTTTTTTTTTTTTTTTTTTTTTTTTTTTTTTTTTTATGAGACAGAGTCTCACTATGTAGTTCAAGCTGACCTTGGACTCTTTGCAGTCTCCCTGCTTTAGCCTCCTGAGTAGTGGGATTACAGTTATACACCACCATTCCCGGCTAACTGGTGATTTTCTGCATAGGAATAAATGACAGTGACAAGAACAAGGTCCTTGGTAATGAGGGCTGCTCATGTAGAACTACGGAGGTCCAACAGGAACCCGGGGACCAGAGGGGCTATCTGGAGACTGACAGCTCAGAGGGAAGCACAGCCACAGAGCAGGCAGTGAGTGGTCTGGTCCCGCCTCCTTTCCCACCCTTCTTGTGTTGGGCCTTGTGGCCGCCCAGTAAGCAAGGGAGGGTCTTAAATTTGGGCAGGTTTGTGTGGGGAAAGCATGGGACTTTTGTCTTGTAGTAGCACTCATGTGATGGATGGGCCCTGCCTTGCTGTTCATCTCAGCGTTGGGTTTGGTTGGCCCAGCAGTACTAAGGGCTACTGCCCAGCAGCTGGGCACTCAGGTCAATTCTGGACTGAAATATCTCCTTATGGAAGGCAGAGGGAGGAGAGGTGTAAGCTCTATAGAAGGAATATCACAGGTGCATTCCAGGGCCCTGGATCTCTTGCCAAAGAACCACCTGGTAAGTTTGTTTGAACACTGGTTTCTGTCTTCTCCCTAACCCCACTCCCACTGACTGTCCTCGAGGTGTCTGGACAACACCATGCTCCTCAGCTGTGGCACACTGACATCCTTTGATGAAGGTCTAATCCTGAACCAAAAATGGCCTTTTATGCACATTAAAAGACCCAAATTCTGTATTTCCCAAACTCTACTATTTGTGGCATCACACTGCCAGTTGGGCCCTCCCAGTAAGACCAGGGCATGGGGGTTGACAGTGGTAAAGTCCCCTGCTTCTTCTAGCCAGCTGTCTTTGGCCTGCTGAGCTCAGGGGGCCCTCACTGCTACCCAGGGCCTGAACCATAACTGTCCTGGGAAAAGAATGGGTGAGATGGAAATGCATGTTCCCAAGTATCAGGAACTCTAGAGGGGCTGGGCATGTGACTCAGTAGCAGAGAATGTACTTGGGATACACCAGGCCCAGAGTTCATTCCCCAGCATGCCTAACCCCCAGGTAAAGAATCTAGAGTGGCCCTGGAGCTGCTGAAGCTCCCAAGACACAGTTGTGGAGCTAGATGTTAGCAGGTGGCCCTCTTCCCAGCTGTACCGTGCCTCCTTACCCTCTGTGCGTCTGCATTTTCTTATAGGTGCAAAATCAAACATCTGACCAGGAGGGCAGCCAGTAGCAAGTGAGAACACCAGGCTCATCAGCTCCATGTCTTCCTGCTTGGCGCCCTGCCCCTCCTTGTTTCCTTCCTGAAAGCCTCCAGGTGTTACCCATGCAACCTGAGCACCCATTCTAGCACCAGGACAGTGGAAGTGAAGGCATAGTTCAGGCCGGAAAGCTTCTGTAGTGTTGGGTTTAGCTTTGCCAATTGTGTCCATAAACCTGGGGTTAGCAATGCTGGAGGGAGGCTCTGAATGGCCCAGCAGCATCCTCACAAAGCTGAGGCCTAGAGTGTCGGAGGCACCCTGGGAACACAGGGAGCACCACCAGCCTCCTGAATGCAGACACTCCCTCAGCGGCTGCCCTCCTTGTCCCAAGCACCACAGCTCACAGCAGCCAGCCCAGCTTCCTCCAGCTGGTGGTGAAGCACATTCGTGATCCTCCATTTTAACAACCAGCTGTTTAAGGCCCACGGCATATGCCCCACCTAAGCCACTTGGCTTCCAGACTCTGTCCCTCCCCAGCCATCCTTTAGAAGGGGAGTACCATGTGCTGTTTCTACTTTGTCTTTCATTAGTACACTATGTATTTCAGATCTGCTCTAGGAAAATGTTAAATGTCCTAAGGGGGGGAAAAAAATAAAAGATGCACTTCTTCCTGGTCAGGAGTTGTGGTCCCAGAACATTCTGGTCCTTAGGCTGCAGGGGCCAGCCCTTCCTTTAGGAGCTAAAGCAAGCCCTTGAGACAAACTTTGAAGCTCATGCCAAACTGGGGTGCAGGCCAGGCTGCTGTATCTTTCGACTGGTAGTTTACCTGGCTCTAATCCAGTGCTGGGCACAGACCAGCAGGATTTAGTGGTTCCACAGGAAACCTCCACCTTATAGTCAGTTCTGCCCTAGGGACAGAGCACTGTCTAGCATCCCAGTATCTGGGAATTAGTGTGGACAGCTCACCTGCCCTCTCCCTCCCTGGTCCATGCCACTTAGAGCCTTCCAGGAGCAAAGGATGCAGAGAGGAACAGTTGATAAAGTCAAGCCTGGAACCTCACTTTTCACCAGTACAGATTAAAGCCTCTAGAGTGCTCTGCTGGGCAGAAAAGGAGATGTAGCTTCCACCCAGCACACAACCCTCTCCAGTTACCCAACCCTGAGCTGTGGTCTTGGCCAGCACTAAGCCAGAGGCCTGGCGGTTGGGGTAAACTCAGTTTGCTCCTGGGCTGTGCTATTCTCCCCACTCTCACTAGCAGCTTGTCCAAAGCAGTTTCCTACATTAACCCTTGCAGCTGCTTCAGTAGTTCAGCCTGTCTTTCTGGCCCGTTGGCTAAGAGGTAGGAACATTTAAGGCTGTACCATCCCAAGCCCTTAAAACCAGGTGCAAGGACCCAGCTCAGAAGAGCCTTATTCTTTTACACAAAAAAACTAGAACAAAAGACATTTTTCAGATATAAGGTTTTTGTTTTAGCTCAGATATTAAGAAGGTACCAATCCCTCTCCCATCCTCTCGAAAATAGCCCAGTTTTCCTGAGTCAGTGGGCCACCCTTTACAAGACAACAGCTCCAGATCGCATTTTCCAAGTGAGTCCAACAGAAGTCCTTTCCAACGTGGGAGTCAGGCTGCTTTCACGGGTTTCCTCAAATGGGTCGTGACTGGAGGCCAGCTCAAGTAGCAAAGGTCCTTTAATAGGGTATAGTTTGTAAAAAGCCATATCTAGGCAGCTGTCCAACGCTGTCCGTTGTGTCCATTTCTCCACATCCCCTCCTGTGCTCCAACTTCTGGGCTCGCCGTCGTCAAGAGGTCGGCCACGCAGGTCCTTCTAGGGCAGAGGCAGCCCGGTCCTCGGTATAAATCGTTGCTCAGCCTTCGGCCTCAGGGTGGAGCGGCAGCACCCCTCCGACGGGCTGCGCGCACCAGGCACTGCTGCAACACTGGGTAAAGGCGCTGGCAGCCTTCAAGGCCCAGGCGCACGGCCTCTGCCCAGCTCTCAGTCTGGCTGCCCTCGCCGCTGCCCAGAAGCCCGGCGACCTGATTGAGCACGGGCATGAGCGCCACGGTGAGGCCAGCGGCGGCGCGCTCCTCCTCGAGCCGCGTGGGGTCCAGCAGCCAGGTGGGCGAGGGCTCCGGCATGAGGCTCAGGCCGCAGCCCACTACCAGGTCGTACATCTCGACTCCCGCGTCGGCCAAGGCGAGGGCAGCGGCCGTGAGCGCGGCGGCCAGCGCCGAGCCGCCGTCCTCCAGCAGCAGGGCAGACACCTCGAGCTGCGCGCGCGGGTAGCGACCCAGGCGCACGGCCGGCTCCAGCGCCTCTTGCAATGCCAACGCCAGCTCGCGCTCCTCGCCGCCGCCAGGGGGAGCGCGGCGACGGCGGCCCGAGAAGGGCGCGCGGCGGAACTCGCACACCAGGCGGCCGCGCAGCGCGGCGGGAGCCTCGCCACCCGCTCCCGCAGGGCCAATGCCGCGCTCGCTGCCCTCGGCCTGGCGCGGGCCCGATACGGCACACAGCACCTTGGTGCCTCCGGCCTCCAGGTAGGCCGAGCCTTTGGCCTGGCTCAGCAGCCCTGCGCGCGCGTACACGGGTCGCAGTCGCGTCGGGTCGCGGGAAGCGGGCGCCTCGTCTTCGTCAGTTGCGTACAGCTGCGGCGGCTGTGACTCCTCTGGCCCGCGGATGCGGCGGTGATCTCCGGGCATGGCAGCGACTGGCGTGGGAGCCGCTTCCGCCCGCAGCCCTACTTCCGCCCGCTTAAAGACGCGCGCCCGCGCGAGGCCTGTCGGGATAGCGAAAGGAGGACGCGGCTACACTGCCCCCGGAGGCCTGGAGGGAAAACAGTGCCTCTTTCACCTGATGACTGCAATTATATTAACTTTGCATTTGTGTTCCCACTGCCTTGTCGAAAAGACGTTCAGCCCTTCTTAGCCAGTGCCCTGGGTGGCATAAACACGGATGGAATGGGAACCAGACTGTGAAGTCTTTTTCGGAGACAGGGTTCCGACTGGCCTTGATCTCAGCATATAGCCCAGGCCTGGCCTCAAACTTCCTGTAGTTCTGCCTCAGCCTCCCAAGTGCTAGGATTACAGGAATGCACCATCACACCAATCTGTAATCATCTACCGCTCCCCAGCTCTCCTTACCTGAACCAGCTCCTTTTAAACTCCCTCCTCCTCTCACAAGACAGGTGAGGGGGCCCCCTCACCCCTAGCATCGATCTGATCCTCCCAAGGCTGAGGGTGATCCTGGGCTCCAGGCCCAGCCACCTATACTCAGGGGAACTTTCCTCTTGCACACCGATTCCAAACTCTGATTTTAGACTAGACAGACTAGATTCATCTCCATCCTTACCATCAAGGAAACAAGAGGGGGCAGGCACTGGAGGGGGGCAGGGAGGGCAATGCCAGTGCCCTGAAAACCTAGAGAAGACCACCTGATCTCTCAGCAGCTTCAGAGAAAGGAGGGGGACACAGGTCTAAGAAATGGAGTTATCCAAGACTCTAATCGGTGCTTCCTTGCCTCAAGTAACCCAGTAAATCATTTCTATTGACTTATGAATGCCTCTGTTCATCTCACCCCACCCCATCTGCCTCCAACTCCAGAAATGTCTGAAGGCAACCCCAGGAGCCATTCCCAAAGCTCAAGGACTGGGGCTGAACTTGGTGAGGATTGCAGCAAAGAGCCAGATGGAGCCACAGGATATAAATTTTTTTTTGTTGTTATCAGGGACCAAACTCAAGATCTCAAGATGCTTGCCAGGACTACAGCATATGTTCTGCAGCCATCCAGACCAGTTGTGGGCATCAGGTGACATCCCAGGGGACAGCAGACAGGGATAACTTGGTGTCCTCATATATTGCACTTGGTCCTTTATTCTCTGAAGCACAAAGGCCTCCCACCTGCGACCCAGAAGTTTCAGGTCAGAGGCTTTCTACAGACACGAGCATGATGATGCTAAACAGGAATCCTGGACAGTGGTTTTAGACAGATGGTGCTGACATGTTGGGCTCAGAGCAGTAATGTAAAGGGACAGAGTCATGGGACGGGTCCAAGGCGTGTTCCAGTTACTGCTGGGTTAGAGGACGGATGGGGCTGACGGTCCCCAAATTCTAATGCCCTGGTGGCATATGAAGAGCTCCTGGCTGGACCGATGTATTCAGGTGAGGGGAAACTTTCCCATCAGGAACTGCGTCTTCTCTCAGTTCTTCACATCTCCTAGGCGGAGCTGGGCAAAGGACGTCGCCAGCTGCAGCGCCTCCTGCAGGCAGCCCACGTTTTTGCCTGTGGCCTGGGCGGACATATCCTTGCCACCACCTTTGCCATCCATCAGGCCTGACACCTGCTGCACCCACTCACTGGCTTTTAGGCCCCGGTTGGCTGCATTCTGGAAGACAACAAGGGGAAAAGGGAGTCAGGACAGAGAATGAAACTCAGGAAAAAGACCAAGAGGAAAAGCCAAAACCCTCCAGCCTTGGGCAGGGACAGACCCCACAGTTGGGACAGGAAGTAGCTGATGGCCACTGCCACGACCAGGAAAAGTGGCAAATACAGGTATCAGCCAGCACAGTTAAAATACTTTCATCAAAGAAAAGGCCTAAGGGTGAGGGATGATGGGAGAAAGTGACAAACAGGTGGGCAGGAGATCTGCTGCTTTTCATGGGGCCTCATCAAATATCAGGAAGAAGAACCAAACTCAGAGAAGTTACGTATTTTGCTTCCCACCGGCTTGGGGGCTTGCAGGATTTGGAGCAAGGCCACAGGTGGTTCAGACCTGGGGTACTTGACACAAGCACGTGATCTTGCCAGCCTCGTTGTCCACTGTGAAGAGCATGGCAGATGTCTCAGGGGAATGCGTCTTGAAAAGCTTCAGGGCTTCATTCAAGGCCTACAGGGAGATTTGGTATCAGGTCACAGCCCCACGGCAGGGGCTCTGCTCTGCACAGGGAGTTTGTAGACTGGCTGGAAGAGCACCACGGCATCCCCTGGTGGTTCCAAGAGGAGGCACAGTCCCCTGAAGCCCAAGTGGAGAAGGGCCCAAAGCAGAGTCTTGGCCACACTGGAGCCACTCCTTCCTCCAGCCATAGATCTCTCTATGGCTCAGCCTAACCTCAACCCTAGACAGTAGGCCGTCAGATGACCACAGAGCTCAGGGCCACAAAGCCCACCCGTTGGCCAGCAGAGAGCACATGCTGGCAAAGGCAGGGCAGCGCCTGGACCCCAGCCCCCAGTTGCCTTGGCCGAGGCGCCGCTCTCCATCTCCAAGATGACCAGGGGCTGGTTGGGGTTGCTGTCAATGAGCTGCTTTGTCCTCTCCAACACCTGTGAGGGGTCCAGAAGAGAAGCTCAGGCAAAGGCCCAGACCCAGAAAGCTTCCCAGCGCCCTTCCAGCCTGCAGCACCACCAGACGCACTCGCTTCTGGACGTCGGCTTTGCTGGCACGGTCTAGGTCATCCATGACCTTCTTCAGGGATTTCAGAGTCTCTCGAAGTTCATCCTTCTGCCACTGGGGAATAACTGCAGAGGCCAGGGCCTAGAACCAGAATGGAGAGACGTGTGAGTGCAGGCTACAAGGACCTAGGATGTGAGGCTCTAGTCAGCTCCCCTTTCTACCTTTGAACCAAGATCCTCCCTGCTAAATGTCCAGGAAAGGACAGAACAGAGACATAATTGCTGGCCTTGACCCCAATATGGTGACCACAGCAGCTGTCTCAAGCAGGGCTAGAGAAACAGAAGCCACATAGAGAGCTAGGTTCTCTCACAAGATCTTGTACTTTGTACAGATCTAAGGGGCTCCCTTTGCAGTGACATAGGATGACAGAACTCAACCCAAAGGCCATTCTCCTGAGAACAAGGGACTGGCTGTGGTGACAGTTGTTTGGGAACTGGGGGATCTTTGTCCTCAAGCCTAAGAAACTAGCATTTCTGGGACTGGGGTTAGGGGAGCCCCTACCTCACCAAGGTCAGCGATCTCTCTCTGCACATCCTTGTTTGGTGCGGTCTGGGCCTTCACTGTGGACTCCATGGCGGACAGAGATTTACTCAAGCTCTCCGCCTTCCTGAGGGCCTGAAGAGGAGACACAGACTTGTAAACTCTGAGCATTAACTGTCAGCCTCCCTGTGCTGTCCATAAACAGCTGTGGAAGCACTGAGGACAGGTTGTGCAGCAACAAACCCCAAGACATTCAGGGAGCAAGTGCTGGCAGCTGCTGCTCCAGAAAGCAGTAACTTCCTCACAAACCAGGCGGCAAGGGCTGCACCCTAACCCAGGCTTAGAAGTCCAAGTCAGGAGGTTTTTCACCCCAAGAAATGACCACCCCTCAGGATTCGGCAACCCCTAGAGCACTTGTCCCTCTCTATATCATGCATCTTAGACAACATACACACCACTTAGGATGTGTGAAGATGCAACAGGGCCTCACCCAGTTTAGGAGGCAGAACTCACACTTAGAAGAGTAAACATGCCATCCAGGAAACCATGTGCAGTGCTGCTTTTCTTCTGCCAGGCAGGGTAACAAGGACATTGAGGGCAGCACAGTTTGTACTTTCATTGTGACCGCAGTGACCCACAGAACTATGCAGAGTATGGGTTCTCAGACTGGGCACCCCAGGTTCTTCCAACAATCACCCAGCAGTCACTCTGCTTACCTTTTGGGCTTCAGCACCCGTGACGGCAACGATTCTCCGGATACCCTTGGCAATAGCTTCTTCTGTCACTATCACAAAAGCTCCTGCATGACTCGAGTTCTGCAGATGCCTGAAGAGCAGAGCATGAGTCCTTGGTGAAGAGCTCAGATGTCCTGGGTCGCTCCGCCCCTCCCAAGGAACTGCTGGTGGCTGCGACAGCTGAGCCCCCAGGGAAGAGCAGGTTAAAGGCTTTCACACCAAGGGAGCCTCAAGCACAGCACTGGCTATAAGCAAAGGCATGGGGAGCAGAACGATGAGAAGAACCTGGGCTGTGGGCTGCAGCTTTCTCAAGTAAAGGTGGGGACGATTCTCCCTCAATGACGGAAACATGGACATGGTCTAACAGCATCCAATATTATGGTAATAATATGGATAAATAAATAATATGGTAGGCTCCACAGGACATATTCAGTCTTTGATGGAACATAAGCTTTATTTTATACAGTAAGTCCCTGACTTACAAATATTTGAGTTTTGAGTTTTCACAGATCTCAATGGACCTCACATTACCAACATTCATAGATGTGAACAAGTCGCGAAGGAGCTCACATGTCTGCCAGACACTGTCATGGTTGTGCTGCTATGCACTTACTGTACACTACGACAGTGGACAATAGTACAGTGCTCAATTAGAGCCCAGGGGTCTAGAAGCCAGAGGAAAAGCCCTGGTGATGTGGACAGGATTGCTAGGAAGTGTGCAGCAATGCACATCGTGTACTTGTGTCAAAAGTGTGTAAGACTTAGGGGCTGGGGATTTAGCTCAGCGGCATAAGCACCTGCCTTGCAAGCAGGCAGTCATGAGTTTGATCCCCAGTACTGATAAAAAATGAAATAAAGAGAAAAGCGTGTAAGACTCGCTTTGTTGGACTTACAAATTTCATAGACTTACAAATATTCTCCTGGAATGGAACTTGTTCTTAAGTTGGGGACTTACTGTATCCTGATCTTTGGATAAGAATACTAGGGCTGGGGATGTAGCTCAGTTGCAGACCACTTGCCTAGCATGTGTGAGGCTCTGGGTTCAATTCCCAGTACTGCAAATGAAACAAAAATCATTGCTGAGCTATATCCCCGGCCCTCCTGTCTCAATTTAAAATAAAAAAAATTAAAAACAGGATTACTTTAAAAATCTTATTACATGAGAATGCACATGTAAAGAAAAAAAAAATCTTATTACAACTCCTTAAGTAGGTCATATTCCCTTGTTACTCAAAGATACTAAATGTCAGTAACCCTCAATTATTCCATGCATGTGGTATGAAATCTCTAAACGTTGTGTGCTATGGTCCAAAGACTGTCAGTAAGGGGCTAGAGATGTGACTCAGTGGTAAAGCACTTGTCTAATGTCCGGTTCTCAGCACTGGGAAAAAATACATAATGTCACCAAGTAGGTAATTGGTCAGAATGCCTGGCACTCATTTAAAGGCCCAATTCAGCTGGGCAGAGGCCTGGAACTCAATTCTCCAGCCCTAAACTGCCCTCTATACACCCACCTGCCTGCCTGAAGCCTGCAACAGGTCCTGATGAGGCCACCAGGCCTGCAAGATTTCTTCCCATCTGGCTTTTTTTGGAATAAAGAACTTTCCAGGGCACCATGACCTTCCCCAAAAGAACCATATAAGGGGCTGGGGATTTAGCTCAGTATTACAAATCCCTCTAGGTTCAATTTCCAGCACCAAAAAAAGGAAACCAAAAAGATTCCACAAGCTGCAGAGAAATTCACCCTGGCAGAAACAAGGGACCATCCAAGTCAATTGAGCCAGGTCTACCATATGCTCTGCTCGGGAGCCCAAGATGACAGGTTGTTCTCAAGCTGACAAAGAGAAGTGAGTGAGGCAC